TTTTTTGCACAGATTTTATCAAAATTTTTGGAAGAGTAGATAACAATCTTTGGTAAGTTAGATCTGTGGTAGAAATTATCCTTAGTCACTTGCTTTAGGCAAGATCACAAGAGTTCTGTCATGGCTGTGGATTGGAATCGCAATGGTAATTGGTTGCTGACAGCCGGCAGGGATCACCTTGTGAAACTATACGATATTCGAACCATGAAAGAAATGTACTCATACAAGGGTCATAAAAAGGAAGTCACAGGTGAGGAATCGGTTTTTCAAAATTCTTTGCGCGGTCGAAATCTAAAGTTTACAACTTATAGCTGTTGCTTGGCATCCCATACATGAAGGATTGTTTGTGTCTGGAGGAGGAGATGGCTCTATTGCATATTGGTTAGTAGAAAATGAGAAGGTAAGCCGTTTTCGACCAATTGAACTTTAGCTTAGTTTTCCTTTTGGACCTTCCTAAATATTTCTTTCTTTCATTTAGGAAGTAGCTTTCTTGGAGCATGCGCACGATCAAGCGGTCTGGGCAATGAAATTCCATCCAATGGGACATATTTTAGCTACAGGTGCTTGCTTACTTTTTTGCAGAGTATTTGCAAAAAAAAAGGTTTATAGGATCTAATGACAATAATACAAAGTTTTGGGCTCGTAATAGACCTGGTGACACACAAGAGGATATATTTGGCCTAGCTTCTTTCACCACAAACATGGTGAGTTGGAACTTATGACTCCTCATATTTTAACCTATTCTTGAATGATGTTGACAATCTGCTTTTAACGCATAGCAACTTGCTTTTGTGTTTGGAAACATTTGAAGTTTTCGTTTGGGCAAAACAAAAAAGTCGGTAAAGCAAAGATAGAAGAAATAAAGCGGAAAACCGAATACGTTACGGTAAAACGGCAGCAGAGGTAGCACTATTGTGTTGTGAAAAATAGAACAGCAGTAATGGTCGCGAACTTTTTTTTTCTCGAATTATAGATTATCACAAATAAGCATGCAACATTTGCCTTTTTCGCTACTTTTGTTGACAGCATCCAAATAAATTAGTTTCAAACGTTCAGGTTGGCGCATTGGATAAAGAACGTGAGCCGAAGAGCGCTGCAGTACGCCTTGAGGATGAATATATGGCTCCTGTCATTCCTGGTATGATATCTTACGTGATATTTAACTCGATAATTTTTGTCTAACTAGAACGTTATCTTTAGGAATGGGTCTTGACGATGAGGTTGTGGAGAAAATGAATCGAGATATAACCTCAAACCCAGCTACGGCACATCACACCATGCTTCTCATGCCAGAAGATTTGAATGCCCGACATCAGGCTAGTCTATTGCAAAAGAGCTTTTGAACTCAACATTTTATCGATTTCGCACTAAGAAATTATGTTTTTTTTTTCAGCATAATGCAAATATTGGAGCGAAAAAGACCTTGATCAAGCAACCACCACCGAAGAAAGCTCAGCGCCAGTTTGAGCGCATGTGGAATGTATCCAAGCCGGGAGGATCAGGATGTGAGTGCTTTGTATGACCTCAAGCCCAAGCTTAGTGTTGAATCACTTGTTTAGTTGACGATTATGATGAAGAAGCTGAAGAGGAGTACTTTCAACAGCAACAACAACAAAGGCCTCGTCAGGGTTTGCTTGGTCAAGCTCCACCTCCAATGACTATGCTTGCACAGACTGGTTAATTGATCTAAAATAAAGTTTGAAGGGTCATAAGATCATGATGTTTGGCTTCTTTAGTCAAAGCGCAATCGGCAGCTGCAATGGCCGCTGGCTTTGCTGGAGGATTCGCAGGTGCTCAGAAGCTAGGTCTTTTACCACCTGGAATGCCACCTGGATGGAAACCAGGTTCGACGCCATCCAGTGGCCCTACAAGCCCCGATGAAAAGTCTGGTCCATCGAAAGCTAGTCCCGGTCAGCAACCTCAAAATGAACCAGGTCCGTGAAAATTTAGTCATCTTGCAACATAATTCTCATTCTCTTGGAAACATCCTACTTTTAGGACGACCTCCAATGCCTTCTCATCGACCTCCACTGCTTGCGAATGCTCCAGTCCCTCCGAACTCAGGTCCATCACAACCTTCTCAGGGAGGACAGAATCTGCCTGGTGGTCCTCCATCTAGAAATCCATTGCCAATGCCTCCACAACGACTACCGTATCCTCAGCTGCCTCCTAGTGTGTTTTGCTCTAATTTCCTATTTTTCGCAAAAACCTTGCCAAATATTCCTGCAATGTTTTTTGAGAACGCAGCTACAACTCGTC